GTCATAGACCAAATACCTACAATGGATGGAGATAGACTCAACGAGTTCAAGGAGGAACTCGACGAGTCGGTTAAAAAAGGACTGATGTATTGTTGAAGGTGAACTTGTCGAGCTCTTGCTAGACTCGACGATTAAGGACGAGGTTGTAGCCTTTTGTGGACGAGGGGACTCGACGAGTTGGTGAACCAACTCAGCGAGTCTGATCAACCAGATATTGACGTTGGCCAAAAGTTGAGTTTGACCAAGGTTTTGACCTTGACTTTGACTTGGACTTGATTTGACCCTTGTAAGGGTTATGAGCATGAAATGGTATTTTAGAAAGGATGTTGTGTAGGGATTGAGGAGTCGGGAAGAGTCAATTTTCACACCGAGGAGAATGTAGACACTACACGACGTCGATGTGAGTTACCTTCCACTAGAAATGGGTAGTATTATGTACTAGGATACTATGATTTATGTGTAGTATTGATAGGGATGGGATAGTCCCCGATTACCGGTTGATAGATGCTGAGGGGGTGTATAGTAACCATGCATGCCTAGTCGTATTGTCATGTTACATTTTTATGAGATAGCGATAAGGGGTGAAATAGTCCCTGGTTATTGGTTGAAAGATACTAAGGGGGAGGTTAGCTCCCCGTTACCGGTTCAAAGATACCGAAGGAGAGGTTAGCTCTCGGTTACCGGTTGAAAGTTACCGAAGGGGAGGTTAGTTCCCGGGTACCGGTTGAAAAATACCAAGGAATAGGCACTATTATGTGGTATGTGGTATGATGGGGGAACTCACTAAAATTTGTGCTTATGGTTTTCAATTTTGGTTTCAGGTACCTCTTCGTCTAAAGGGAAGGAGATGGTGGGGTGGCAGCGCATCACACACACATGATTCCACATTTGAGATTTCTAAGATTATACTCTGACATTATTACCATTTGATGATATGATGTTGAGACATGTAACTATGGTTTATGAATTCATATGATATCAGTAATGTTTTCTTAAACAATTTTACAAGTATTATAATCGAAAACATGAAAAAATTGGTCGCAATTTTTGGGATGTTACACATCAAGCAAGGCCCTTGACACCTCAAATCAACTAACTCCTTAGGTTTGCACCATTCAAAACCGAATTGCCATGGCTATTAGGGCCCAGAAAACCACCAGACCCATCCTCATCCTGAACAACCATAATCAAAAGATTGGCAGATATAGTAACACTGCCACGAATCATGCTACCAACAATGTCATCTAGCATCAACCAGCTCCTTAGAATCCTTGTGACTTTCCTCATTTCGAGTATGGATGTTGTGATTCCAGTAGTGTGGGCCTAATACTACCTTCCATAAATATCTATACTTTCCTCAAGAATCATCCCGAGCCCTCTAAGTCACATTCTTATTATAGAACTACCAAACCTGCTAAATAACATAGCAACCACACTAAAGTACTTTCTAGGATCTTATAGTATTCCCCATTTCCGTTGACAACAACTACTGAAGAACCCCTATTAATTTCAGCTAACCACTTCACAAATACAATTACATGAAACAAAGCTTAAATAATCTTTTAACTTAAGAACTCAACCTTACAACAGTTAGACTCAGACAACAGCTGCGCAATAGTACCACAACTTTATTATAAGATTATCTACCATTCATATCATGTAATTTAACATATTCATCAGATAGTTAACTCATATCAATAAGAGTCCTACAAAGCACGAAGCAAGCATCATTCGAGTAGTGGAGTAAACTGGCACTAAGACATAACAAAATCAGGCAGATCCTCATGCAAATTTCACGTCTTCTAGGCCCAATCATCTAGGATACACCCTCATCATGATGTCACTTTATTAAGAGTGGCTAATCATTCCCCATACCGACCTTCTATGAACTACATCGACTCTTGAAACTTCCACCAACCCTTCAAACACTCATGCATGCTAATCATACACAACACTAGATCCTAAAGACAATCGAATACTTGACTCTACCCTAGTCCCTTAATAAGAAAAAATAGGAAATAAAGCTAAATAAAACATTATAATAGTATAGAATCTTTGTTATGTACAACTATGATGCACATACTAAACAACCACAATAATGAAGTCGATTTCATCTAGAATATAAGAAGTCCTACTAGGCTATCAGGTATCATACATCAGCCAATTCTATTATATAATTCCTAAAGATCCCTAGTCTATCACTAGCATGCATTTCTATCAAATTATAATAAATAATAGTGTGGTGACTTGGGTTATGCTTTCTTTCTCTGGCTGATCGTACACATCTCCTCCTTCATGGGTTACTTTTGAAAACAATTTGAATTTAACTTAGTAATTTGAACATCATTTTGAAAACCTTTACAGATCCTTAGTTTAAGTCTAGATTTGCACAAATGCTCATCCAATTCTCTCAAACCAAGGCTCTGATACCAACTTGTAATGTCCCCAAAGTCAGGGTAAAAAATTTCATTTCTAAATCATTTAAAATCATTGTTTCTCAGAACCTTCAAAGTCAAAACCAATCATTTACAAGACACTTTTCTCCAAAATAGTATTGTATCACAGAGTGTCCCCAAATCGTTATCTTCAAAACCAAGAGGATGTAAACGATCACGCCTTCGCCTTGCCACAATCATCCGAAGTACCCGAAACAATAAACTACAATCGTAAGCACAAACTTAGTCAGTTTCTCCTAAATTACAACCACACAAACATAAAAGTAACCGCATGCATATATAAGTCTTCAACCGGACTAGATCACTACACTGGGTCTACAGACTATCTGGACCGCTATCAGATCATTCTACATTACTGGACCACTACACTGGGCCAACAAGTTATCTAGATAGCTCACCGGCCTACGACCTGACTTGACCACCTTGCAGGCCTTCAATCTATCTGGACCTCCCTAGTTATCTTGGTCTTCAGCATAAGCATGATCGCCTCAACCCAGTCAACCATATCACACAAACCTATATTATAACAATCAATAGCTAGCAAGTACAGGTAGTCATACAGACCTACATATCACTACAGCATAGGAATATCCTATCTACACTAATACACATATAATAGATCACTACAGAATAGCAACATCCTATATAACAGGATACATAACCAAGTGGGTCAGCATTGGTGCCATTGACCCATAAGTAAAGTGACGAAAAATCACCTCAAGCTGCTGAATAACTCGGATAGAAGCTATGACTGCTGATCCGAGAAATCTTCGCACTAGCACCATCAAATAATTACCAATTAACAATGTGTCCACAACCATAACTAAAATCCTAGTCCAGTTGTCCAACTCCCAGGGTAAAGACCATTTTACCCTTTCCTCACTTGGCCCAATAACCGAGGCCCAACCTAATGGCTCCAAAAGCCTAATATGGCCTAATTCTCAAATAACACCCAAAGTCCATTATAGCCCAAATCCAAGAAGGCCCGAAGCCTAAAAATGACCCAAAGTTAGAAAGAATAGTGGCCTAACAAGGCCTAAAATTCCAATAGTCCAAATATGAGCCAAAACCCAAAAGGGATAAAAAAGGTACACCCTGCGTGTGGGCCATCTATACGTATGGTACAACTCGTTGAAGCAATAGAAATAGGGACTCCCGGGTAGCATGCCCTGCATACCAGAGGATTACGTCTTGTGTACTCACCACTGAAGCTCAATGTACAAGTCTACGATGCAGGAACCACACATTACACTGAGCATAGTCCTACGTACGCTCAACATACTCCTCAGAGGGCTTAAACCCATAATAAGCTCTTAATGGTTAAGTCAAGAATGTCTAAACATAGTTTTGACCCTTAAGGGGTGTCTTAATACGTAAAGTTGGAAAATTTACTCCTTTACACGACTTAATGTGACCCAATCCTTGATTTTTATCCAACTATATTTATAATTTTATTACCAAGTATAGCATGCTCCATCAAAACCCACATGATGACATTTTTATGACTTAATAACCTCAACAAAGACCAAATATGAGGATTAATGTCCGTAGAGTAGATTCTACTCACAAGAACCATAATATTGCTACCAAAACATGCTTAATGATTCCCATAACTAGATCTACACTAAAGAACCATAAATATTGAAGCTTTATACCTCTAGAAGATAGATCAAGATGCACAAAGTCTAGATGTAGAAGCTTCAAGCAATCTAACACTCCTTCATGAGGCTCTTTTTCTTCAATGAGCACTAAAATTATTGAAATCACACCCAGAACACAAGAACCATTCAAATGTGGGCTAGGGTTTCGTATCAAGGGTTTAATGAGATAAAGGCTAAAGGGAGGAAGGTTTGAAGCTGAGTTAAGGCCATTAAATAAGGTCCAAGACCCTAAATTAGGGTTTGCACTTGACTGGAGTATGCTCAACATATGCCAAAGTCTCTCCACGATCAACCCTTCTTGTACGTCTGACTTACTCCCTGTACGCCCAACGTACTAGGCTAGTCTTTAAAATCATCAAGCTTCCGAAGGCCATAACTTCTTCGTTCTAAGCTTGATTTCGATGATCCTTATATCCACGGAAAGGTAATCAGAATCTCTACAATCCAATCAACTATACTTTTCCTTGAACTTCCCAAATTAAATCCAAAATTCATAAAAGGCGTAAACTGATGTTATACGGTTTATAGCCTTGGGCTCCAAAACGCAAATCGAACTTCGAGATCACCCAACCTACATTATCCGCACCCAAAGTGGCCTAAATCTCTCTTCCCCCCGTGCCCAAAGTCTTATGTTAACTGATCCTCGGGTTAAAACTCCAAATTAGGAAAAGATTCAAAATAGGTTGTTACACTATTCCAGTGAAGTGGTTGTCATTTGCAGGTTTCACTGCCTTGTACAACAAAACAACTGAGATTATAATGTTCTAGGCAGAATCTTAGAAGAACAAGCGTCCGATGAAGAAACAATTTTCCCAAATTCTTCAACTGTCATCAGAAGTGTAGTTCGATACTCGTACAACTGAATAGATACTTGAGATGTTAAATGCGATGGGATATCAGCCTCTTATCACGCTTGCGAGTAGTTTTAAGAGGTCGAATCTTCCAGGAATTTGTAATTTCTTCTTTGGGATTATGCGTCGATGTTTTACTGGCCCGATTACTGGTATGGATAAGTCAAAGCTTCAGTTCTTCTCAGTCATGGCCGGACTATATTATGGTATGCAAGTCGATTACGCATCATTGCTTTGGGCTGAGTTTGATGCCTCAATTTCACACTGAAAGATAACAACTAAGATCTTAAATTCATGGTTTTGGAGTCTTATATTAAAAAAATCTATAGTCAGGCAGGTATTCTAGTTCCCACACATGTCGAGGTTGCCCAATTTCATCATATGTTTATTCCCAAATCTATAATCGATGATCCACTTATTTTTCCTAGTGTTGGTCAGATTTATGATGCCATGCTCAACTTGGTATCACCCATGAATTCGATATTGGTGACTTACAAAGCTTCTTTGAACAATACTTCTTATGCTACAATTCCTATTACATTGACTTTTAAAGAAGGAACTTCTACAAATTTGCCAATTTCCAAGAAGAAATCTAAGTCAAAGCCTAAAGTTGTTAGGAAGGAGGCTTCTATGAAAACTGTTTATGAAAAGTATCTTGAGAAAATTTTCAAAGTACATTATGAAAGAAGTTCTTGAGAAGTCTACAAGAGTAAGTTCTGATAAACCATTAGAGAAAGCTGCTGATAATCAAATTGAGAAGGTTTTTGAGGTGGATTCTACTCAAGACGAAAAGAAGAAGAGAAAAGTTATTGTTGTTTTGAAACGAATTAAAAAGATTCGAGCTTTGGATGATGAAGAGCCATCTACTAATGCTCCCAAATCAGTAAAAAGTGGTTGAGATAGATTGAGATAGTGAAGAAACAGAATATGATGTTGGTACATTTCACAATTCACCATGAAAGGATACCAATGTCAAATTGAATTTTGAGCAGGTACATAGTCCTAATGTCACTGGGAACACATCTAATGTGGATCCAAACAATGATTCTATTGAACCTATTATAACTTCAATCCCTGAGAAGACTATAGTCATACAACACGAATTTCACATTTCCGAGTCCTTTATGGAGGAGGGTATATCTTCAAACATCATTGGGAACCTAAATAATGTGGACTCAAATATTAACATGGTTGAAGGGATTTCAACATCAGCTCTCGATACTTCATCTATTCCGCCACCATCAGTAACTTCTATGATTGTTTCTACTTCAGTTCCTGTGGTGTCACCTACGTTTCAAGGAGTCATGAACTAGCTTATTTCATCCTTATTTTTTGACTCAATCTACAGAACTAGAGGAAGGTATTGATGAAGAAGAAGATGTAATGGTTGGGTTTGTAGAATTGGAGCTTAATTCCAAAGAAGACGATGCACCTAATAATGCTATCATGTATGGTAAAAAAATTCAAGATCCTGAATTCTAAACTAAACCTTAAATTATTGTATGATAATTCTGGGAAATCATATTTTAATTAGGTGGAGGTTGAGTTTTTGTTAAAGTCACAAGAGTCACAAATAAGAACTTTAATTAAATATGTTAATAAGTGTATTGATGAACGATTGGTTACTAGTAATCGTACTTTCAATTATGAACTTACAAAATTACAAGATGCTGCCCTTGAGTGTCATGAGTGATTTGAGAAGTTGGTGACTATTTTAATTAAGATTGCATTGGTGAGATGAAGATAAAGAATGAACCAGATGAAAACGTGTTCGATAGTATTAAGAAGTCTTTCACTGGATTTCAAGAGATACTATCAAAGTTTTATTTTACATCAACATCTTTGCTTTCCCAAGAATCACTTTCTACAACGGTTTCTTCTATCGAATCATGCTTTAAAACTAAATTGGAACCTATTTTGGATTTGGTTCTTTGACTTCCAACCAATGCTCCATGTTCTGTAAATGTGTTGCAAGGGGATTAGTTCATTGAAGGCTAGTGGAGAAGAAAAAGGAAAAGTTGTTGGGAAGGTAACTTCTACTTAAAATCAACCTCAATACCAATAAAATTATAACGCCCGATTCCTGGTACGTATTTTAAATAAGAATTATTCATTTTTGCAAAGGGACTCGATGAGTTAGAGTCCCAAAACTTGTTGAGTAGGAATGGGATTTTTGGATGCAGGACTGGAAGTTAACTCGACGAGTTAAGAGCCTCAACTCAACAAGTAGAGCTGCCAGAGTGAAACCCTAATTTTCAGGGTTTGCACCCTATTTAAGCACCTTAACCTCCAAAGGTTGGCCTCATTTGTAGCCTCCATCACCGTAAACCCTAGCCACGAAACCCTAATGTATTTTTGAGTGTTTTTGAGCCATTCATGAGTGTTCTTGGTGATTTTGAAGCTTAATAAGTAAGGAGAAGCTTGAGGATTCAAGAGGGGGCCAGTAGATCTAGAAGTTGAGCTACACTCCTGACTCATTTGAGGTATAAAGTTAATACCTTGGCTTTCTATTGCTTAGATCTTCATTTAGGGTTGTATTTTTCCTTTTTTAGGAACCATTCGAGGATGCAAGCATTTTTTAGAGTCATGACTTCAAATCTAGAGCCTTTGTGGGACTCCATGGCATAAAGGTGCTAGCTTTATGGACATAGGAGTCCCATGCAACTTGTGAACCACTTTTTAGGGCATTTTGAGCTAAATAACCCATGCATGGATGTAAGGTTAGAAACTTTACGTGATATATCGACCCTAGGGAACCAAATCTATGGTTTGGAAGAATTGAACCTGACTGTAAATGATCATATGGATTTAGACTATGGGAAACTCGACAAGTTGTTTATATAACTCGATGAGTTGGGTCGTGGTCCTCCAATATTTTCTGTTACTAGGTAAAATCCTTAAGTATAGGAGATGACTCAGTGAGTTGGTCATGGTTTTGGGTTATGGAGGTTGAGGAACTCGATGAGTTCAAGAAAGGACTCGGGGACTTGTGAGTGAAAGGTCCTGACGATGTTATGAAGGGGAACTTGACGAGTTAGATCGTGGCACCAACCTTTCCTGGTTACTGAGCAAACTCAGTGAGTCTAGGAGATGACTCAGGGAGTTGGCTAATTTTTCAAGGCTTGAAGATTCAAGTGTTAAATTAGGTGTCTAAGCCCATAACTATATTTGGTATGTACTTTACCCGTTTGTAGCATGGTCCTTTTGGGTTGTCTTCACCAAAGCAACTTGCCTGTATGAATAATGGAGAAAGAGGATGAATGTGATTTATTAATATATTGTGTGAATAATATATTAAAATAGAAATCATATTGTTTAATTAACAATAGTCAAGAATTAATTTTGTGGTGAAAAGAGGTTAGTTGAATTAAGGGGACTGATATTGTAATTATAAGATAATTGTAAAATGGGCTGAGGATCTCTTGGATAAGAGGTGGAAAGAATCTTATGGAAGTCCATAAGTATTTCATCCAAGGTTAGGTGTTCTGGAAGATTCCGATGGGTTGCTTAGGGCTTAAGCAACCATATTAGGTATTTGACTATAACCCTAATTCCTCACCTATATAGGGACCCCTTTGGCATCTAATTTTCAACTACATTGAACCCTAAGGATCTCTAGAGTCAAAGTTATCCCTCCTCCTCTCTCTCTAACATTCTCCAATTTATTTTTGTGGTTGTGATCGATTAGAGGTTTACATTTGTGATACTAAGCTCTCAAAGGCAAGGATCTTCAAGCTACAATTGAAAGGTAACATTCTTACTTGTTTAATTATGTTGATTTCGATTTCTATATGATATATTTAGGGTTTACAAGCTTTGGATGATTATTTCATGTACAAAAAAACCTAGATCCAAAGCTTTAGGGTTTGCATGTTCACCATAGGATTGTTGTTTTCTCAAAACCCATTAGTGGTATTAGAGCCTATGTCGATTTTATATTCTATTTGATGCATAGCTAAATTGTTCAAAGCTGAAAAAGTCAAAAATCTGCATCTGCCTAATGAACTCGTCGAGTCCCCTAATGAACTCGACGAGTCCAGTCTGTGACTCGGCGAGTTGGCTCGTCTACTGGTAGATATTTTGGGATTTTGACTAGAATTATGTTGGGATAATTACCATAAACATTTTTAACAGATAAAATTTTATTTTTTCAATATGGTATTCATTATGCTCATCCAATTAGAAGAAAGTTGTTAAATAATAAGATAATTACTTGTCTATATGATAAAATAAATTATTTGTGTTATTTAATACGAATTATCTTGCCATAAATTGAATTAGGCCACATTTAGATAATCACAAATTATGTGATTAATTTAATTATTTGAAATTTTATCTAGAAGGTTTTGAAAAGTTTCAAAAGTTTCCCTCAAGTTTATGAATTTTAATTTTTGATTAATTGTTTTTTTTTTTAAATATTTAAATACTAAAACCTAGAATTTTACAAATTTAAAATTCAACCCTTATACTATTATAATATTAATAATTATATATATATATATATATATATATATATATATATATATATATATATATATATATATATGTATGTATAAGATAAGCTAGTCATACCATTACAAGTCATACCATTAGTATATATATGTATAAGATAAGGTAGTCATACCATTAGTATGCCTCATTCACGAAACTAGTCTATAAGGGGTGTTTAAGGAAGTGACCAATAAAATGACCACCATTGGGTATCCACTCTTACCCACCTCAGTCTTAACTAGCGGAGGGTCGTTAGTTGAACAGGTAGGATAGGGTAACTAATTCCTCATTAATAAGGATAATGACCTATAAAGTGACTAAATGTTTTTATAAATTCTCAATCTTAGTTACTTTAGGAAAAATGTGAAAATGATGCTTTTCCATGAAATTTCAATTTGCACCTTGCCAAGTCGTTAGTGGAGCGTGTGTGGATAACCGACACACTATTTTGGGACTAGCAACGGTGACAAAGGGTAGCTTAATGTTTATCATAGATCAATGGAGCGTGTGTGGCTAACCAGCACATTGATTAGGTGGTAAATGACATCAAGAGTATCAAGTATATTTACGTGGTTATTCACACCTTGTTTGTGATCCTCGGTATCCCTGTCAAAAACTTGAATGGCATATCGAGATTTAAACATGTCATTGAAAAGTTCAACGAATCTCAAAAGAATCCAGGAATTTCAATTCATTTAATACTAAATTGTGATTTTGTTTTTTCATGGTGGAAATTGATAAAATCGTAATTTACATACCTTCAAATTATTTGCAATTCGATAACGACATCCCTCTTCTGAATTGTAAATAGTTATGTTGGGTCCTAACCCTAATTTTTCATTTGGGTGTTAAATTGGGGATTGTTATCTGATATAAACATTGTCTTTTTCCATTTTCAGATATCTACTCCAAACAACATCGCTTCTGGCTGATTCTCACTCATGAACTTGTGTGGGAGGGTGATATTTGATGGGTCCAACTTTAACGATTGGCTCCGCAACATTCGCATGGTCACTCGCTATAAGGAAAAATAGTATATTCTTGACAGGGAGCTAAAGGAGATTGGCACCAACACTGCTACTTTCGGGGAAATTGCTGCGTACGAGACTCACGAGAGTGATGCTACGGAGTTTCATTGCATCATGCTCACAACAATGACTGCTGAACTCTAAAAGTCCTACGAGGACTACTATCCATTCAAGATGCACAAAAGATTTGATGGAAAGGTACTATCAAAGTGCTAGGAAGGAAAGGTACAAGATCATCGCTGCAATGATCACTACTAAAATGAACGATGGAGATTCCATCACGGCCCACCTACAGAAAATGCGAATATATTTGGACCGCTTGTTGAAGTTGAATGTCAACTTCGATGAGGAGATGGCCATATATATCATTCTAACTCCTTGCTTAGTTGTTACGACCAATTTTGTATGACCTATCATATGAGGAAGGAGGAGGCCACTCTAAGCAAGCATCAAGGCCTGCTAAGGACTGATGAGAGTAGTGTAAAAGGAAAATCTATTGCATCTACTCCTACTACTGTTACCCATGTCTTAGCTATTGGGCAAGGAAAAGGAAAGAGGAGTAAGGATCCTTATAAGAGTGTAACAACCCGAAATTTCCGTATCGTTTCTTGTAACTCTTTTTGTAGTTCAATTCGAGCAACCAATCGTCGTTTTCAAATTCGATTCCGATTTTGTTATTTAATTAAGTCATTAACTTGTACCTATCTAAAATGACTTAATGGGTGTCTTAATACAGTTAGAAATCATTTTAACACCCCATATTAGTGATCGGAACATTTCTAAAATCGACCATA